GCGAAGGCTGGAGGGAAGCGGCGCTGGTGGCGAACAGCCGGAGGGCCTTGTTCCAGTGGGACTGCATCATGGCCTGGAACTGGCTGACCATCTCAACCCACTGAGCCTCCAGGCGTCGGCACCTGGCCTTGCACTCCTGCAGGTCTTCCCTCTGCTTGGAAAGTCTATGTTCCTAGTCCTCGGTGAGGTTCTTCTGCTGAGCCTCCTTCTCGGTAAGATCCAATTTGAACTGAGCTGTTTTGCCAACTCTTTCTCCTGGGGGCTGCTCAGCTCCAGCAACTGCTTCCTGTTGGGGCCCTAAGGAGCCCGAGTGGGCAGGTGAGGAGTGGCGAGTAGAGGCTGGCCAGGCGCCCCTCAACGTGAGTGACATTGAGTTGGCCACACCCACCCAGTCACATGCCCACCTAGCCACACCCACCCAACTGGTCATTAGGCAGATTGTATTAGTGGTCCACGGTATTTAAAATTATGAATTTAGTGGTCCCTGAGTTCTGAAAGGTTGGTGACCCTGTCCTATAGGGTCTCCTGCTTGAGCAGGGGGTTGGATTAGAAGACTTCCAAGGTCCCTTCCAATTCTGTTATTCTAAGTCCCTTTTCTAAGTATTTGGTGTCCTCATCACCTTGGATTATTTATAAAAATAATCAAGACGGGATCAAAATTTAAAAAATATCAAGGCAAGGTCTTCTCAGCTGCCGTGGGCAAAATCCTAGGTCTACAATATTCTTCTGTCTCTTAAGGTCCTTTTCACTGGAAGGAGATCACCTCAGGATGTGGGGGACAGAGCCAGTCGCCCATTAACATCGATCGAAGAAAAGTACGACGGGACCGGAGTTTGGATGAAATTCTGTTCGAAGGCTACGACCAGGCGCCGCCAGGTAGATGGAGACTAATGAACAATGGCGATGAAGGTGAGTCCATGAAGCCGGGATTTTTTCCCCAGGTGTTGGCATTGACAAATTTGCCATCAGTCAATTGCAGAAGGCGGCTTTACTTGAAACAGCTTCCATCCTGTGACAATATTTGTAACACTGTCAAACATCCAGATTTGCCTAACACAGGTCCTTGGAAACATGAACATCTGGCTGATTACGAAAATACGTTATGACGTCCTAGGCCCCTGNTCTCTCCTAATCTGTCCTAATCTGTCCTAATCTGTCCTAATCTGTCCTAATCTGTCCTAATCTGTCCTAATCTGTCCTATTCTATTCTATTCTATTCTATTCTATTCTATTCTATTCTATTCTATTCTATTCTATTCTATTCTATTTTATTCTGCCCTGCCCTGCCCTGCCCTGCCCTGCCCTGCCCTACCCTATCCTATCTCCATGGTGGCACAGTGGTTAGAATGCAGAATTGCAGGCTAACTCTGCCCACTCCTGACCTGCTCAAGGTTGACTCAGTCTTCCATCCTTCCGAGGCTGGTAAAATGAGGATTCATATTGTTGGGGGCAAAGTGCTGACTATGTAAGCCGCTTAGAGAGGGCTGTAAAGCAACATGAAGTGGTATATAAGTCTTAAGTGCTATTGCTAATATGGATAATTGTTTTGTTTTGGGATGTTCTTATCTGCTTATTTCTTGATGGCTTGGTCAAGTTTTTATCTGTTTAGGCCCATCTAGAAATAAATACATGACCAGGTCTTAAAATCATAAACTTTGGGAAATATCAGATACACAATTTTCCGTAGCACGAAGCTGCAATGATGTATGTCTTCTGGTCCTCAGATATTAAATTTACTAAAAGACAAAGCAGAATTTTTGCGGGGAGGGGGTGAAGCCCTCTTATTATTGAAGTCCCGAAAAATCAAGAGAGTCCAGTTGCCTCTTGAAAAAGCACCTTTGGGACTAGAGATTAAACGTTGGCTATCTAAAGAACAAAAAGAATGGGGAGACAGGAATGAATGCAGAAGAAGTTGAATGATAGTGAAAGATGATCGGACCCTGTGTTGTGTCTTCACAGCTACACATTGTACACATGAACATCAAATACAAAACCATCAACGACGCTAAGCTACGTCCAAATGGACTCGCCGTTCTGAGTTTCCTGTTCAAGGTATGGTCCCCAAAATATCATGGCCATTAGGGCATGCAAAAGTTTTATGTTACGAGTTTTCTGAAGTTTTGGGGCGCAATTCCTTCTGTCTTGGCTTCTGTAGGCTGCGATAACTTTTTCGGGTTGTTTTTTTTTTCCTCCCTTCAAATGCCTTCCTCCGTTCCAGTTGCTAAAGCTCTAATGACACAGCATGACTCAGAGAAGCGTGATTCATCTTGAATGTCTTTGATTAGAATAGAAGGTCAGGATCGAACTGGGGGAGCCTTAGTGCTCTCTGGGCTTGGAGTCGTTTCATCACCCAGCTAGGTGACATCATCAGTGCGAGTGAATGTGGGTTTGCTCCCCGGATAATGATGTGTGCAGGCAAACAACCAAGCTTAGAGAGTACCGAGGATCCCATATTTCTTTGATTAGGTTTAATATCCAGAAATAAAGAATCTATCTATTTCTCTCTCTCTCGTTCNCATCCATCCATCCATCCATCCATCATCTATATCTTCTATATACAATATATCAATCATCTATTTATCTCTTCTTCTCTACTTTGATTGACAGAATACCAACAATTCTTCCCCTCCTCTTTAGGAGGTGATGGTTGTGGGTCTACACAGGCCAGTCCGTTTTGCTCACAAGGAAGGAAAAAAAAATGCCCAGAGAGGAAAAGGTCCTCAGTCCAATTTTCATCAGGCTCATTTCCAAGAATGGCTTCGTTTCCTTAATGTGCAAGAGGGGGTGGGACACGATGGGGGTGTAAACATTCTCCTGAATGCTTGTTCAAAGAGAACACCACCCAATTAAACAGCATACCATCAGCAAAAACCCCCATCACTTGTCTGTCTTTCAAAGAAAGTAGCTCTTAATGAAGGCTTAGCCTTCTTTTGGTCCAGTTCACTCAAGACAATCCAACTTTTCATCGTGGCCGTAGACATCAAAGGACTTCAAAGGGCAGTTCTGGTTGATCTTGAGCCCTCTGTCATTTCATTCTAGGTATTTGACTGTCAAGCAAGGACCTGGAGAATGGGCTGGATGTTATTATTTTTCAGAACTTTCCATGAACTCTGCAGAGTTCAGGAATTGCCCTCTCCGGTCACGATTTATGGATCAGCATGTCGACTTTCAAAGTCTTTTCTTTTGCCCTTCTTTTGAGATTTGGGAACAGGCTCGAGCAGCTGTCCCTGTTCAACATTAATTTATTTTATCCATTGCATTAATTGCTTTTCTCATGACATCCCTTTAGAGCGCAAAGTGGTTGCGGAATTGTTGTTGTGGAATTAATTGGGACTACACAACCACTTAAAATAGCATCGTCTTGAGAACTATAAAATTAAGAGTACATTAAACCCATAATATGAGGACCCAGATTGTTGGGGGGCTATGTGCTGAATCTATAAACTGCTTAGAGAGGGCTGTAAAGCATTGTGAAGTGATATATGTCTAATTTCCTATTCTATTCTATTCTATTCTATTCTATTCCCCATTCTATTCTATTCTCATTCTCATTCTCTTCTAATCCTAATCTATTCCTATTCTCTTCTCATCCTATTTTACTCTCATTTTAATTCTCTCCTAATCCTAATCTATTCCTGTTATCTTGTCTTCTCATCCTCTGTTCTATCCTATCCTATCCTATCCTATCCTATCCTATCCTATCCTATACTATTCCCTATTCTATTCTCATTCTCATTCTCTTCTAATCCAAATCTATTCCTATTATCTTCTCTTCTCATCCTAAACTGTTCTGTTCTGTTCTATTCTATTCTATTCTATTCCCTATTCTATTCCATTCCCTATTCTATTCTCATTCTCTTCTAATCCTAATTTATTCCTATTATCTTCTCTTCTCTTCTCGTCCTATTCTATTCTCATTCTCATTCTCTTCTAATCCTAATCTATTCCTAATCTTCTCTTTTCATCCTATTCTATTCTATTCTACTCTACTCTACTCTATTCTAATTCTCTTCTAATCCTAATCTATTACTATTCTCTTCTCTCCTAATCTGTCCTAATCTGTCCTAATCTGTCCTAATCTGTCCTAATCTGTCCTAATCTGTCCTAATCTGT